AAAAAAAAAAAAAAAAAAAAAAAAAAGAGATGTGTGTGTGTGTGTGTGTGTGTGTGTGTGTGTGTGTGTGTGTGTCCATACATGTATATGCAAATACATACTCGTACATATGTACACATTCATATGTGTGTGCTCAAATTATGATGTACATTTTTTTCTTCCCCCGTAAATGGTCCCTGACTGTCCCTTGTAGCTTTAGTTGTCTGTCAATCTGCAACTCTGCCAGTGACTGAAAGAAAACAGTTGAAAGAGAATGGAAATCTAAAAATCATAAGTAACAATGAAGACAGTGAAAATGAGAAATACTTTAAGAAACTGATACGATTTCAAGTGGAGTCTTTCTGGAGCTCAGTTTCTGAAAGAATAGCTTGTTTCCTAAGCTGAACAACAAGTAGCACCAAGCCTCGAGGTAGATGGTGACTATGCTGCCGCCTCCTCCTCCCCAGGGCTCTTGAAGGGCCATCTACCTGCAGGACGCCTCCTCCTTCTCTTCCACCCTCTCCTTCCCTTCCCACTTCTCCCCCTCCTCTTCCTTCTCTTCCTCTTCCCCTTCCTCCTCCCTCCCTCCTCCTCCACAGAGGGCTCTGTGCAGCTGCTGGCAGGAACACAATTTAGAGGCAGGCAGGGCGATGATGGTTCCTACCAGAGATTCATACCTTTCCCGTCTGGAGCCAGCTCACAAGCTCCTACGCCACTGGGGTCTCTGTGATGCACTGATCCCACCGTCGGGTTCTCTGTGATGCAGACCGCCTCACTCAGAAAGTCTGCCCTGTCCTGCCTTGGTGCAGCCTCTATCACAACAACCTCATCCCTCTGCCAAAGCCTCCATTTGCCTCCGACTGGGAGCCCTCGAAGGTCGGAATCTTGTTTCTTCATCCACCAACTCCAGCACATTTCATTTATACAACAGCATTTCAAGTTCCTCAACAAGGCAAACTGTAGGCAAGTCTTCCATCTCTTCCACAAATACTACTTGTGTGACGTAGACCCCGGCAGCAGCTTTTCCATCAGGGCGGGCTCACTTCCTTTCTCTGTACAAGTACTTTGAGTCCTAATCTCTAGACAATGTTTGTACAGGTAGATGGGGAATTCTTTCACCTTAAGGTGGAAGTGCACGAACTTAAAGACAAACTTGATAGCCCTGCAGCCTTGTGGGGTATGTATAAAGAATGGTCAGCCCTGGCTGGGTGTGGTGACTCACACCTGCAATCCTGGCACTTTGGGAGACTGAGGTGGGAGGATTGCTTGAGTCCAGGAGTTTGAGTCCAGCCTGGGCAACATAGTGAGACCTCATCTCTACAAAAAAATAATAAAAAATTATATAAAAAAGGAATGGTCACCCCATCACTACAGGGACAAGCATCTTCATTTGTTTTATGTAGAAATAATTTCTCTAAGTGATATATTTTCTCCACTCACACAGAGACTACGACACACCAACCCCACTGACCTTCAAAGAAGTGTTAGATGAAGAATCTGACGCTAACAGAGGTGTAAACCTGGCTTCCTATGCTTTGGTCACTGCTGGTCAGGTGGGAACATCCTGAACAGGCCCTTTAATTTCTCCAGACCCTAGTTTCGACAAATGCTTGCTCTGGGAGCCTGTGAGTGGAAGAAACTGCAACATTCCCTGTACTGTGCTAAACTTCCCAGCAGATGTCCGAACCCCACCGTGAGCCTCTGTAAGTACTTCAATGATTGCAAAACCATGTGGGAAATATTAGAATTAGTCAATTGGCTAACTGGGGCCCCGGAGTATAAGCCCAAAGAGGACACAGTTCAGCAGGTTGGTGGGGTCGGGTTGGCTGCTCCTGGGGACTGTGTGGCTTGAGCTAGATTTTCTTTTGCTCAAAATCTCAGAGGTGGGCATGCTGCTATTTGGCCAAAGTTGGTCCAGTAAAGTGGCATGTGCCCCGTCTGCCTCTGGTTTCCAATTTAATGGCACTTCTAGCTGCTTGTTGATTAAATTACTGATCCTTATTGGAAGGAAGTCTTGGGGGTCCCAGAACCTCTGCCACCATCATGGTCAGGAATTGGTCTGTAGGGCTCACTAGGTTTTGGCTGCTTATGACACACACTCCTCCAGCACCCCCAAGCCCAGTGCCTGCTGGGAATTCAAGCTGAGAAGGGCACTAGGATCAGACTGCCTGGGTTGTGCTGCTCCCTGGTGCCCGCCTGAGGTTCTCCCGAACTACCCAAACCCCATATCTTGTCTGTTCCTTTCTGCCTGCGGAGACATCTCTGATCCCAACAGGCAGACCACCCCTGCCCACAAGTTCTCCACATCCCTAAGTGATGACTTGAATTGTAGATCTTGGCCTTTCCCACGTAACCTATGCAGTATTCCCCCATATGGGGGACCTGTCATCATCATCCCTCTCACCCAGCTCATGTGCCAGAGCACCCTCCCTGAGAAATGGCCCTAGGCTCTACACGGAGGTGGCCACTGAAAGGTCTGGAGGCAGAACCTGCTCCAAGGACGGCCCTCCACAGGTTGGTCAACACCACCTCCTGGAAGCCCACTGACCACCCTGTCTTGCTTTCTATAAGGGGCTCCCAGGAGGCGGAGGGGAGGAAGGGAAGCAGGTAGCAGAAAAGGCCGAAAATGAGCATCTTCCTTCTTTAACCTACTTGCGGGTCTGCCTTCTGGCCCTCTCCTCTGATGACCGCATGTTTACCCTTCTCAAGGTCTGTCCATGCAGGAATATGGTTCTCTTGCCTGCCTCAGAGCAGGAGACACAAATCCCAAATTCATGTCCTTTCCACAACCTTAAAATGCAACCTGTTTTGGGAATAGGGTCACGGCAGATGTAATTAAGATGAGTTCATACTGGAGATGGAAGCCCTTAATCCAATATAACCTCCTTATACTAAGAGGAAAGAGAGACACAAGGAGAAAACACCATATGATAATGAAGGTAGAAATGTGAGTGATGTGCCCACGAACCAAGGAATGTCAAGGATGCTGGCAACACCAGGAACTGGGAGAGAGGCCTAGAACAGCTCCTCTGCTAGAGCCTTCAGAGGGAGTATGGCCCTGCCCATACCTGGACCTTGAACTTGTGGCCTCCAGATGTGTGAGAGAATATATTTCTATTGTGTTGAACCACCCAGTTTGTGGCACTTTGCTGCAGCTGCCCCAGGAAAGAAACAGAATTTAGCTCCGTTATCACCAACACAAGCATGATGCCACCTGCCATTCTCCTCACTTAGGTGATGCTTGAGGAAAGATTTGAGAATTTCAGGATGCTGTCAAGGAAGCTGGGTTGCTGCTTTCTTGAGCGTTACAACACCAGTGCTAGAACATTCTGCTCCCTATCAGGCTTTGGAGATGGAGTCCCCAGTGACTTTCCCTTGGCAATGTCTGTAGAACTACTTTGTCACACCTGCAAGCTTCAGTCATAAGACACTGCGTATTTGCAATCGGGTACATGAATAAGCAGAAAAGCAGTCATTGCAGGGAGATGATTTTAAGAGTCTAGAAACAATATCCCACACCACAGACACACACAGACACAAGTTAAAAAATAAAAAGACGAGAACCCCCTCCTCTGCCTTTCCTTATAAGTCAGGAAGACTGAAATTCCTCTCTTGCTGGTCTGGCCTTGCAGATTAAGTATTGTTTTAGCATACAGGTCTTTTTGAGTGCAAATGCAACCTGGAGAGAAGTTAATAGACCCCAGACTTCCGATGCTCAAGCGCAAGTTTGTTTTCCAAATCACCATCTTTCCTAACACACACTTTCTAAGCCAACAGAAATCATTAAAAAGAGTCAATGAAAGAAAGGAGACAATAAACCCCATCTACCTGACAGTTTGCCTTGTACATTTCATGTTACAATCAACGGAGCTCAAGTGAGAATATTTTATCCTCAGATCTCAAATACTCATGAGCCTAAGGGGACTCTCTCTCTTAAACACACATAGTTCCTTCTCCTGGTTCTCCAGCAAATACATCCCAGCTTCCATTCCTTGCTACTCAGAGCCCAGAGTCAGGATCTGCCAGAAATAGGTACAGTCAACTCCCCCAATACCAAACCACAGGGAGTGGGGAACATATCGGGTGCCCAGAGTAGAGTCTAGTCCTTTGGCCCCGGCTATGGCCTAACCTTAGCACTATGCCTGCAGTTTTTCAGAGGAGGCTGGAGGCAAATGTGCTTCGATTGTCCTTACAAGCCATCCTGTGAGTCTCAGGATGTTTGCAGTTAACCCCAAAGACCATGCTGTACCAGGATTCAACTCTGACAGATTTGTGCAGGAAGAAAGTGACAAGTGGAAACTGATGCGCAGTTCTGGAGGGAGATTTGTTGGGAGGTAGAGGGAGAAGCAGACGCAGACACTCAGCATGGAGTCACTCACAGCCACCCGGCAGCTTTGGGGCCACCTTGGTTGAGTGGCCACAGAGAAGGTCCCCAGCAGCCCGGCACCCAACTGAAACAATAGCATCAATGTCTTACTTTTTCTGGAGCGGGAGAAAAACCTGATGCCCCCGGGTGAGGTAGACGGGTTGGAGTTGGGGGAAGACTCTTTGGAGGAGGAGCGGAAGATCCCGCTAAAGCTCATGCGCCGCGGCGAGCGCGGAGGGGACTCCTGGTAGGAGAACGGGAATATGGTTTTGGGAGAGCCAGGGCTGGTCTTGGGTCTCACGGGAGCAGACACAGGACTGGAGGGCCGAGGCTGGGGGCCCCTGGAGAAGAGCCCTTTGGAGGGGCTGCCCGAGCCGAAGGGGCTGTCCACCTGTGGAGAGACAGACAAATGGATGTGGTCATTTCGAGCTTTGGACACTCTGACCGCTGTCCTGTATGGGACCTGTCGTCATCATCCCTCTAACCAAGCTGGAGCACCTCCCTGAGAAATGGCCCTAAGTTCTTCATGGAGGTGGCCACTGAAAGGTCTGGAGGCGGAACCTGCTCCAAAGATGGCCCCCCTTGGGCTGGTCAGCACCACCCTGTCTTGCTCTCTACAAGGGGCTCCCAGGAGGAGAGGGGAGGAAGGGAATCGGGTAGCAGAAAGGGCTGAAAATGGGCATCTTCCTCCTTTTTGTTTTTGAGTTGGAGTCTTACTCTGTCACCCAGACTGGAGCGCAGTGGCCGCTCCTGTCCACCGCAGCCTCGACCTGCTGGGCTCTGGCGATCCTGCTGCCTCAGCCTTCCAAGTAGCTGGAACTATAGGCACGCACTACCACGCCTGGCTAATTTTTTTATTTATTGTAGAGATGAGGTCTCGCCAAGTTGCCCAGGCGGGTCTCGAACCCGCGGGCTCAGGCAATCCACTCACCTCAGCCTCCCAAAGCGCGGGATTACAGGCTGAGCCACCGAGCCCGGCTGCATCTTCCTCCTTTAACCTACTGGCGGCTCTGCCTCCTGGCCCTCTTCTGATGACTTCACATTTATCCTTCTCAAGGTCTGTCCATGCAGGATTATGGTTCTCTTGTCTGCCTCACAAGAGGAAGTAAAATCCCTAAGATTCAGAACAGAAGGGGCCTGGGGCTCCATTCATCATCTCTGGCACTAGGAGGTGATGAATTTTTCACCTCTAAGCTGCTTTGGCACTTGAATGATTAAGGTGCTGATAGAGTTTAAGAGGAAAGTTAACAACCTTTAAGCCTCACTTCATTGATGACTTAAAATTGTAGTTATGGCTTGGAAAATTATTGAATCCCATAACTTTAAGCAAAGGCACAAAACACATAGACTTTGAGAAATCTCCAACGTGTCCCATTAGCCTGTGTTCCTGTTGTGTGGGTTTAGGAGCTTACACCCTGCAGTCTGGGTGCCTGGGTTTGACCCTAACTCTGCCCCCTGCTGTGCCACCCCAGGGCATGCAATGGTGGCGCTAAACCTTGGTTTCCTCATCTGTAAAATGAGGACAGTCATACCCTCACCTGGTAGGGCTGTTTGAACATCAGATGAGAGGTCACCTGTGGGGCTGTCTGAATGTCAGATGAGAGGTCCCGTGTGGACATGGGCGTAAACCTGATGCACAGTAATCACAGGATGCATGGTAAACTGCTACTGTCCTACCACTTGGTAAACTTCTAACACTGGGGCCTAAAGGACCTCAGCAGCAGGAACGAAAAGGAACATCTGTCCATGGGCCTCATCAGGGCGAGAATGAGTTGAGACCCTGGAAATGCTGCACCCTGGAGGCCAGCGTGTGCTGAGAAGGTAGCGTGCTAAGAAGGTAGGTCCGTGCACACATGCTCAGAGGCAGCCTCTGTGCCAGTCTGTCCCTCTCGGGATGTGCTGCCAAATAAGTTCTCCTGTCACTAGAGGGCGCTCCCAAACTCCAAGTTTGTGAACCCATAAAGGATAGGGGGTGCCCTGGTGGGGAATGCCAACTTCAGTGACCCTCGACCAACACAGAGTCTACCCTCCTACTGTGGATTCCCCAACCCCAAAGAGGCGGTACCGTCACATGGAAGTGCAGACACCAGCTTGGCACCAACCCCTGTGCTGAGTGGGCTTTAGACACAAGAGCACAGTGTGCTACCAGGACCCTATGACTCTTCACATTGTGAAGAAGTTCAGGCTTGTTGTTGTTTTTATCATTTAATACACAAAGCATTTAGAGTCTCTGTCTATAGAATATTCCATTTAACCACCATCCCATCTGCCTATGGGACTCAAGATAAGTTCTGAGAATACATTTTAAAACAAGAGGCTCTTCAAGTGGTGGGTCAGCTGTGTGGGCATGGGGTGAGAGTGGGGGGCTTATCTGCAGCAGGGACAGCACATATCGGGAACAGAGGATGGTCCCATACCACGGTGGGATGATGAGCAAGAATAACGGATGGTGGAGACCTGAGTTTGAATCCCAACAGTGTGGACAATGACTTGGCTCTCTAAGTTTCATCTCCAGGGCTGTGATGGTGATGGGAATGTCCCGATAGGTGGGAAACAGGAGAGAAGACGAGGTCCTGTAGGCAGGCCAGGGGAGAGGGTCACGTCTGGAACTCCTTGGAAGGCTAGCCCGCAGGCCTCCTGCTCAGTCAGCCATACTCTGCAGCATGACTTCTGGGGAGGAGGACAGAGGGCGGAAGGTGGAGGGCAGAGGGCTGAGTGAATGCTAACATCCAGTCCTATGGAGGAACAGAAATGTGCAGGGAAGTGTGAGGTCTCCAAAACAAGGAGATTGGCCGGCAAGACGGTGCGTCATATGCATAATGCACATGGAGAAAGTGTCCAGAGGTGAGAACTTTCCCTCACGGGTGTCCTGACTCAGAGAATGCCCTGAACACAGAGGGGCTTTGGGTGGGCCGGTGGATGGGGTTAGGAGGGCGTCCAGGTCCCGGGGGGGTGGGGGCTGGGGAGGGGATGGAGCAGAGAGTCCAGAGACATAGGGTCATTCACTTGGGCCATGGTGGATGTTGAGTCAATGCCACTGGAAAACCAGTCATGAAGGGCCCCAAATGCCAGTTTGAATCTCATTTGATGGGCAGCAGGGATTGCAGAGTTCTATTGAATAGGATTCCATCTGGTATTCAGAATTCCAGGCCTGAGGAGGGAGACCCAGAAAGCAGCCCTTCCACCCCTGGTGCCCGAAAATGGCCAGAGTGGTGTAGATTCTGGGCCCGGCCAAGCCTCTCTCACAGGGAGACTGAGAAAGTGAGATGGAAGGCCGGCCATGGTCTAGTTCCTGGGGTGGACTTGGCATCGGTGCAGATAATGGGTGCTGGTTGAAACCACCAGGGACAGCTCTTGCTATTAGGCAAGCCACAGCCAGATGGTACTCTGGTGAAAGCAATTGGATGCTTCCCTGGATGCAGATGAGACTCCCAAGTGTGTGCCTGGCTCCACAGAGCTAATGGAGAGTGGGCACTCAGGCTGTCTGCCCAGCACAGTACCACATATGGGGCCATTGGTCAGGCAGCTGTGGAGAGGAAGCTGTGGCCAGGGCCGGGCACTGCTGCTCTGGCCTTAGGGGTGTGGCCCTTTCACATCAGGGAAGAGGAAGTTCGTGATGATCCAGTGGGGCCTGCCTTAGGATTGGACAGGGTGTTGACAAAAGTGGACACCAGGGGTCTTTCAGAGCTGGAAGGAAATGGACATAGAGGTGGGGGGTGGGTCCAGGATAGGGAGCCCAGGTAAGACCAAGTCTCAAGATGGGGGTCAGCTGAGGCCCCACATAAGCTGAGGTGTGCAGAGACCAGTCCCGTAACGTGGGGGAACCTGACTCACTCGGGGGCTACGTGACCTGAATGCAGGCAGCTGCATCTGAGTCCTGAGGGCTCCCCTGCAGCCAGACAGAAAGGGGCTGGCCTTCCCAGGGAGAGGAGTGGCCCACAGAGCCAGCAACCGGTCAAAGTGCCGAATGTGTTCTGAGCCCGCTGAGTGACATGCTCCCTAGGATTCAGCTCAGCCAGGTGTGAATGCCTTCCTTCGTGGTGTCCAAAGTGCACTTGATGCACTGATAGCCCACCTGCATCTCAGACCTACTCCATGAGCCCTCGCCGCACACCAGGCACAGTGCTGGGTTGATGACATGAATGAGGATCATGTGGGGTATGTTGTAAATCCCACGAGGCTCCTGGAGGCCAAAGTTGTCACGGCCTCCACCACCTCTGTTCTCTTCTGGTCTCCAGCTGTTCTCCTCCCCACCATCTTTCAATCTCCCTCCTGTCCTCGGAAAGGGCTAGGTATCAGTTGGCCTCTAACTGTGCTCTCCTTCTCAATGGGTTTTCATTGTGAACTGGAGCACTAAAATTAAGGGACAGGATTTGGCAGGGGAAGAGTCAAGCACTTCCTGAGAAAACTGGAAACGATCCTAGGTAGACAGTCACCTAACTCAGTCTACCAAAATGGCTGGCCCTGTATGTTGATCTAAATCTGATGTCCCTGGAGTCTGATGAAAAGTAGAACTGCAGATGGTTCTAGGATCCGGAGGAAGTCATGCCTGTCCTCTGGGGATGGGGATGAGGATGGGATGGGTGAGCAGGGAAGCCGAGGAGAATCCTGGGCAGCAATGTCTGTGGGAATCCCAAGTGTACCTCTCCCCCTCCTTCTTCTCCCCCTTTCATCCAGCACAAAATCTTTTCATCTGAGGCCTGGTCTCCAGGTTCCATCAGGAGGCCAAAGATAGAGGGAGAAAGAATGTCTTACAGCGAACAAAAGCCTACCCCGTGAGTGCGTTCTTAAGCTCCTCCGTCTTCTGAAATGTCTGAACCACTAGTTTGTCAGCTGCGATCTGGTATGATTAGCCACTTTCTCGTGACTTCTCTTCCCCCCAGCCAGATCAATAGGGTAGCTAAGGCCCCCGCTCTATACTTGCCTAATGTTATTACCAATGTCAGAGTTCCAGGGGTGGCAAGACAACCTTCGACGTCCTTTTGATTCTGGAATCCTCTACCAAAGGGAAGAGGGGCAGAATGGGCCTGAGCGGAGCCCCCCCTTCTCCTGCTTGTCTCCTCTGCAGTCTCAGAGGCTGTTTAGTTTTTACCCGAAGGGAGGGCTTTGGAAAGTCAAAAAGGACCCAGACCCTACAAGCCAGCCCCATAGCCCTGCAGAGAGGCTCCAGCTTGGTGCCCTTTCCTGCCACCCCACCTCTCTGCTGGCTCGGAAGCTCAAGGCCATTCTCTGACAGTCTTTTCGGGCTGGGCCACAGTAACTGCTAATAAGATTGCTTGTTCAGGGCAGGGCGGGGCAGGGCACTGATGCCAACTGAGACCCACAGGTCTAAACCAATTTGTTGATTCAGCTGTATGTAATTCAAATGCTTGGAGAATAGGTTAGCTTTTTCCACCACTGGAACTCCTGCCTTAATCCCAGGCTGGCGAACACCCAGAACCCACACCTGGACCCTGAACACGGCACCCCCATTGCTGGCCCTTCCCTGCAGTCACCTGCTGTAGGGGTCTGCGGGTAGCAAGACGCCAACTAGCACTTCCCCCACTCCCGCAGCCACCTGCCCCACCTTCCCTTCCTGACTGAAGGAGAGACCTGCTGGCAGCCTGGACCTCCCTTTCCCTGCCCTGACCACCCTACCGGAACCCCTCACCTGATGCTGTGAACCCTGCACCCCCCACCCCCTGCACTCCTGGGCTGCCACAGTCAACAGCTTTGTTGAAATGCTAATTTCCTAACAGAAGTTTAACCAGAGGGAGACGAAAGAGCCAGAGGAAAGGGAAAGTAGGAAGGAGACAGAAAAGCATATGGAATTGAGTGGGGGTGGGGTGCAAAACTAGATGAAACGGAGAGCCCAAAGCCTTGGGCAGGGGCATGGAGGGCAGTGCAGACGCCTGCCTGTCATGAAGATCACCAAAACCTGCAGATGGTCTGCACAGACTGATACGTTCAACCTGGTCTTTGCTACTTAGCACCCAGGGCATAGCTTATTGCCAATCTTCCTCCATTGCCTCTACCCACTTTGGGGATCTAGTGGGCTACAGTCAGCCCAGAGCAAGGAGAAGAAAAAGGGAAGAAGCCCAGGGGACTCTGAAATTGGATAGCCTGGCCGATATGAGGAGCATGGACATGTGAAATGAGCTGTCCCAGGATGGGCTTGGCTACAGCCAGGTGGACATGTGGGCAAGCAAGTGGGAATGTTGCTGGGTGTGTATATGGGCACGCAGGTGGGTGTGCAGGTGAAAGTGTTGGTGGGCATGCAGGTGGGAGTGTTGGTGAGTATGCAGGTGAGCATGCAGGTGCATGTGGGTATGCAGGTGGGAGTGTTGGGTATGCAGGTAAGAATGTTGGTGAGTGTGCAGATGGGCATTCAGGTGGGAGTGTAGGTGGGTATGCAGGGGGGAGTGTTGGTTGACATACAGGCGGGCACTCAGGTGGGAGCACAGGTGAACGCACAGGTGGAAGTGTGTCTCAGGCTCTGCCTGCTTAGGTTGCACCTCAAGTGAGCTGTGAGAAGATTTGAGAAAAGAAGCCTTACCTTACGAGAAGAATGTTTTTCTGAACTCTCCAGGTCTCCATCCAGGAGCGGCATGGCAAAGGAACTCAGGTCCTAGGATGGAAAGACAGTACGTGGTCAGTGACAGGGCCCTCAGGTTCGGGGGCTGCATGTAGTTCTAAGTGGGCATCACCTCCCTCTTCCTGAGTCCTCCTCCTCCAAGCGCACCATTAAGGAGGGACACAGATGTGTTAGCTCCCCCACCCACCAAGGATCCTGCCCACCCTCCACATTTCCTTCCTGGATGTGAAGGCAAATTTCCAGTAGCATTCACGCTGTCTCATCACCCAGGGAAGGAGGAAGAAAAAGCTGGAGGGAACGAGGCCAAGGAAGGCAGGTGGAAAGAGTGGAGGGAGAACAGTCCCATTTGGGGATGCTCTGGGGAGCAGCAGATGGGCAGGATTTCATCCCACGACACAGCTGGGATGGGGTGTGTGGGTCCAGGAGTGGGCAGCTGCCTGGGAAGATGACGGGGCCAAGGTGGGAAGGGTGGCATTGGGGTGGGAGCTGGAGCAAAACAATCAGCAAAGTCTAATGACGTCATGGCCAAGATGGACAGGATAGGAGTCTAAAACAGCTTGGTGGAAGAGTAGCTCACCACGACTCCCCATGTCTGAAATGACCCTGCCCCTCCTTCCTCCTGGGTCTTGATGGATGGACACACCCATACTAGGCAGAAACCCGCCCAGCTGTCCTCAAATCCAGCAAAGCCAGCATCCTAACCATTCTTTTTTACGTTTTTAATTGTGATAACAATACATGTAACAAACTTTACCATCTCAATCATGTTAAGTGCACAGTTTAGTAGCATTAAACACAGCCATATTGTTGGGCAGCCATCACCACTCTCCATTTCCAGAACTTTGTCATCATCCCAAACCGAAACTCTGTACCCATTAAGCAGTAAGTCCTCATTTCCCCTTCCCTCAGCTCCTGGCTCCCACCATTCTATTTTCTGTGTCTAGGAATCTGATGAATCTAGGGACCTTATAAGTGAAATTGGACAGTATTTGTTCTTTTGTGACTGTCTTATTTCACTGAGCGTAGTGTCTTCAAGGCTCATGCATGTTGTAGCATGTGTCAGAATATCCATCCTTTTTTAAGGTCAAATAATATTCCATTGTATGAATACATCACATTTTGTTTATCCATTTATCAGTTGGGTGGTTTCTACCTTTTGGCTACTGTAAATAATACAGCTATAAACGTGAGTGTTATGGGTTGAATAAAATACTCATATGTTGAAGTTCTAACCCCCAGGACCTCAGAATGTGAATGTATTTGGAGACAGGGTCTTTATAGAGGCAATTAAGTTGAAGTTGTCACCTATGTTTTTTTCTAATAGTTTTTATATTTTATAGTTTTAGTGCTTATATTTAGAGCTGATATTTTGAGTTAATCTTTGTATATGGTATACGGTAAGGGTCCGACTTCATTCTCTGCATGTGGGTATTCAGTTTTTCTAGCACTATTTGTCAAGAAAACCGTTATTTCCCCACTGAATGGTCTTGGTACCCTGTAGAAAGCCATTTGGTCTTATCTCTGAGGGTTTATTTCTGGGCTCTCCATTCTGTTCCACTGGTCTATATGTCTTTTTAAAATGGCATTATCACACTGTTTTGATTACTACTGTAGCCTTGTAAGGATTTTCAAATAAAAAAAAAAATTAGACCTCCAACTTTGTATTTTTTTTTTTCCCAAGATTACTTTGCCTGTTTGGAGTCTCTTGAGATTCCATACAAGTTTTAGGATAGATTGATTTTTCTGACTTTGCAAAAAATGCCACTGGAAAGTTGACAGGGCTTGCACTGAATCTGTAGACTGCTTTGGGTAGTACTGATCTCTTAAAAATATTGTCTTCCAATCCATGAACATGGGATGTGCTTTCATTCATTTGTGTCCTCTTTCATTTCCTTTAACATTTCTAGTTTTCTGTACACTTAGCTCTTTCTTCTTTTCTTTCTGTTGAGGATCTCACTGTATTGCCCAAGCTGGAGTGCAATGGCATAATCATGACTCACTACAGCCTCAAACTCCTGGGCTCAAGCAATCCTCCCACCTCAGTTTTCTGAGTAGCTGGGACTGTATAACCAGCTAAGTTTTTGATTTTTTAAGTAGAAACAAGGGCTTGCTATATTGCCTAGTCTGGTCTCAAACTCTTAGGCTCAAGCAATCCTCTCTCAGCTTTCCAAAGTGCTGGAAGTGTAGGCCTGAGCCACTGTACCTGGCCATACTTAGCCTTTCTATTAACCCATTGCCTCCTCCCCTGTCCCTGGGGTCCAGGTCTGTACCCTCTCTTACCCAGTTTTTTCTTGGGCTGCCTAATTGTTTGACAGACCTTTCAGCTTTCCCTGTTTGAATCCATCCTCCAAGTCTGTCCTTGAAGAATGGTCCCTGAAAGTATGATCTTCATTATGTCAGCTCCTCCCCTAAGGCCAGGTGACTCCTCCATAGCACTGCCATCGGCTTCCAGACCTGGTCAACTAGAACATGCTGGTGAACTTGTACATATATAGATCTCAGACTCAGCCTTTGTGATGTTATTTATTTCTTTAGTTTACAGCTCTGGCTGCTCAAGGGGATCACCTGGGGAGCATCGTTCCCACCACAGAGGCAGAACTGATTAGCCTGTGGTGCGGTGAAGGCTGGATTCAGCGGCAGCCCAGATGGGGCTTCTCAGGAGCAGCCAGTCGGGAGCCCTAGGCCAGACGCTGCAGGCTGCAACCCCGGCCCCATGGATTAGCCAACCCCTGCAGCCTTATTTCTGATGTGCTCTGCTCTCATCTCCTTTCAGTAACAGCTCAGGCAGACCATTTGTGGTTTTCCAATCATGGCTGTGTGTCCACAGACATCCTGCCAAGAACAAATCTCAACTCCTCAAGCCCTTCAGCTCAAGGCCACCACCACACCTCCCGTGAACATATGCTGCTTTGCATCAGCTGTTCAGGGAGAGCGCCAATGTAATATCTCCAGCCTCTAGCCCAGAGCCAGGCCCATGGGAATGCATGAACTAGACACACTGGTGCCATCCTCCAAAACATTTCCTCTGTGCTTGCCTCTTGCTTGCCCCCTGGCCTCCAAATCCTGGCTCACTGAGTGATCGCCGATGTGTCCTGCAAAACCTCGTGCAAGTGTTATATCCAGCTTGGACCTGCCCTCAGGCAGAATGGACTCTTCTTCCATCTGTTTCCCACAGTACTTTAGACATACCTTTTTTGCAGGACGTGTGGCACTGTACTATTCTCATCTATCAGTTTATTTCTCTAACTAGACTAGAATCCATCAAGGGCAAGAGGAAAGCGATCCATTTTGCTATTCTCTGCTTCTCATGGTGCCTGGCAGGCAGCAGGTTCCAGACGTGTTTGAATTTACTCCTTGACCAAGCACCCTCTTAGGTTAGCAGCAGGCATGGGGGATTGCAAAGTCTGTGCCAATGGTCAGCAAACACACAGGCCCTGGGCAGCGGCAGTTCACTGGGAAGTGACGAGGGACCAGGGTGGGTCTCTTATTGCCAACTTTAACGAGTACATTCCTCTTTGGCTTCAAATAATCATTACCCTCTAACATTTGTTCAGCAACAGCAGTTTCCACATGCAGAAGCTTTTTCACAAATACTCATTTGTTCCTCACACACCAACCCTGAGAAGCAGCATGCTCTAGCAACCGAGGCCAAGAGGTCAAGTGACTCATGTCAAGACGGTCTGGGAAGAGCTGAGAGGACACAGGTCTTGCAGGGTGCTACAGTGGGTCCTATGCAGCTATACAGGCTAGAGTATGTATGAAAGTATCAAGTCCAGCTGACCACTGCTGCTCGTGTGTTGGCTATTAGACCCAGGTGCATGTACCTGTTTGGTCAAGCAGCCCGACAGGGAAGTCCCCTGGCACATGGGGTGGGCTTTGCTGGAAGGCTCCCTTGCCCCACATTCCATTATTCTAATCTTGGCTCTCATGTCCAGAACTTGCCAAGAAACATTACACACCTGGGGGGCCTGGAGTGGGAAAATCTCTAGCTGCAACTATGGCAACAAGACTATTAGCTTGTAGAATAATTGGGAGCTGGCCTCCTAGGTCAGCTGACATTCCAAAAGGCCCAGGTCCTGGAGCTTGCCCCGTTCAGGCAATCGCTAAATCTTAAACTCCTACCAGAGCTTTATGCCTTCCTTCCTACTGTTATCTACTTCTGGACCTGATCCCTTAACTTTCTCACCCCATGCACTGGCCAGTTGGGCCCTTGTGTGCATGGGAAGGACCTTTTATTGGGTGAAGCTGAGACATCAGGATATGCTAAGTCATGATTTCTGCCAAGAGACAGCTTTAGCAGTCTGATATCCATCAGCTGCACACAGTGTATTTTAGACCTTGACCACGTGTTTTGCAGATGATTATCCGGATCTTTGGAGAAAGTGAATTTTACTTGGATTGATAAAGTCACATGTTAGGAAAGCATCAAAACAAACAAGAAAAGCCACAAAGGTTTGAGGGAATTCCTGAGATTTTTTTTTTTAGTTGGGGTCTTCCTCTGTCACTCAGGCTGGAGTATAGTGGCTTGATCACAGCTTACCGCAGCCTCAACTCCTGGGCTCCAGTGATTCTCTCACCTACGCCCCCGAGTAGCTGGGACTATAGGTGTGTGCCACCATTCCCGGCTAATTTTAAAATTTTTGGTTGAGACGAGGTCTTGCTATGTTGCCTAGGCTAGTCTTGAACTCCTGGGCTCCAGCAATTCTCCTGCCTTGGACTCTCAAAGAGCTGGGATTACCAGTGTGAGCCTCCACGCCCAGCTGTGAGCTGATTTTAAATGCAACTCATTTATCCACCCACTCTCCCTTTAGAAATCCAGGCAAAAGCCACAAGAAAGTGAGGTATTAACAACAGAGGCATCATTAATCTAACATTAGTATGCCATTCTTATGTCTTCCAGTTGTTGCCTCCTTTGGTCCTTACAGCAACCCGTACCGGTAGGAAAGGCAAGTGGTAGCACCCTAGTCTACAGATGAAGATATGGAGGGCCAGAGAGGTTCAGTCATCTGCCCGATGCCAGTCAATCAGCCAGC